TGCTGTGTGCTGTGTGTGTTGTGTGTTGTGTGTTGTGTGTTGTGTGTTGTGTCATGTGTTCTGTGTTGTGTGCTGTGTGCTGTGTGGTGTATGTTGTGTGTTGTGCGTTGTGTGTTGTGTGTTATGAATTCTGTGCTGTGTGTTATGTGCGTGTGTGTTGTGTGGTGTGCCTTGTGTGTGTGTTGTGTGTGTTGTGTTATGTGTTGTGTGCTGTGTGCTGTGTGCTGTGTGCTGTGTGCTGTGTGCTGTGTGTTGTGTATTGTGTGTTGTGTTGTGTGTTGTGTGTTGTGTATTGTGTGTTGTGTGTTGTGTGTTGTGTGGTGTGTGGTGTGTGGTGTGTTGTGTGTTGTTGTGTGTTGTGTTGTGGTGTGTTGCGTTGCGGTGTGTTGTGTTGTGCTGTGCTGTGTTGTGCTGCGCGGTGAATCGAAAAAAACGGTTGCGTCCTGAGAATCCAAAATCGTGCAAGAACCCCATGTATGTCTGGGACCTCAACCATATGGATCCCTGCAAGTGTCGCAAGCTTTTGAAACGAATGTGCACGGCGCCAAGGCGAGAACCATAGATTGAAAACGGCCCGCCCTCCATCCAAATCTAAGACGGATGTGCGCGGCGCTGAGGCGAGAACCACATGTTGAAAACGACCCGCCCTGCCTGCCCTACCGACGATCTCGCCCGGCCCGCCCTGCCAACACGTCTGGGGTTGCGACAGGGAGGAGTTGTTTAGAAGGGAAGGAGATGGAGAAGGAGGAAGGGAGGAGGAAGGTAGGAAGGCGGAAGGGAGGAGGCAGCAGAGGTTCACTGGAGGCGGAGGAGGAAGCGAGGGAGAAGTAGCATGGCAGCATCCTTCGGGACTCTAATGCCACCAGAGTCGATAGACGAGGGAGGAAGAGGAGGACGAGGAGGAGACGGAGGAGGAGGGACACGAGGAAGCTGCAGACTTCTGTAGTTGTTGGTATAACGCCCGATCATCAAGCTGAGCAGGACGGAAGGCTAGACTCAAGGCGGGGGCAGGATGAATTCACGAACGAACCACCTTTGAGGAAAATCATCTGGGCCTGTCTAAGGCTAGGTGGGGGGAGGCCTGGACGTCTGGATCTGGCACCGTGGAAAACACGAGCATGCATCAGAACTGCGAGGCACATGAGGAGTGATGATGAAGGAAGGTGCCAGCCGGGCAGGACGCGACTTGCAGCTGGCAGTAGCGGCGCGGAGCGGCTGCTGAAAGCAACCTGCAGCAGCCCAAGCCGTTCCTCTGCTCACGCGCCGTCTAGTGCAAGAAGAAGGCAAACCCGGAGCGAGGTAAATCAGGCATCTCTGAGAGCTGGCGAGGCCAGGGGGTGTATCGGGTGCCGCGGCCGTTCCGTAGCGTTCTGGAGCGCTCTGAGAAAAACCTGGAACGCCCAGGAACGATCCGTATTCGTCCTGGGCCTGCCCGGAGGATGGAGGCAGCCCAGATGGGGCTGGAGCAGACGGGATCGGAGGATCAGACCACACATCGCCGATGCATCGGCGGCGTCGGGGATGGATACAGTCAGGCTCTGGATCGCGGCGTATCGCCAGTGCATCGGCGATGCGGCGCGATCCTGCGATCCCATCAACGCTGGCCCCACTTGGGCGGCTCGGGAAGGAGAACGGTCCTAGATTAGTTTCATGGAAGTTACATGTATGAATGTGTGTATGCATATATGTAGAGTACATTCACGCATACATGCATGCGTGTATACAAACATGTACAGATAGATGCATTCACACATTCATCGATACCTGTATTCGTGATGCATGCACACATGCATATGAAGAAGAACCGTATCTGCCCCCCTGGCCAGACAATCCGTGCCAGGTTGGGCCATCTCCCTGAGGGGCGAGTAGGAAAGAACAAAAAGGAGCGGCGAAAGGACAGAAGAAGAAGGCGAACAAAAGAAAGAGAAAGAGAACAGAGATGAGGATGGGGCGAAGGAGCTGGAGAAGGAGAAAGAGGAGAAAAGAATGAGGAGGGAGGAGGACAAAAAAAGAGGACGGTAACAATGACGACCGTGAGAAAGGAAGTGGGGAGAGAGGAGGACAAAAAACAGAAAGTAGGAGGAGGAGGAGGAGGAGAAGGAGGAGGAGGAGGAGGGTGAGGAGGATGGAGTAGGAGGAGGAGGACGAGGAGGAGGAGGAGAAAGAGAAGGCGGAGGGAAGAGAAGGACAAGGAGGAGGACGACCAGGGATAACGGCGAGGAGGCGGACGGCCATGGAGGAGGGGGAAGACGAGGGAGGACAACGAAGACGAGGAAGAGGAATAGGAGAAAGGAGGAGGAGAAGGAGGAGAAGGAGGAGGACGACGACGAGGAGGATGAGGAGAGGGGGGGATGGAGGAGTAGGACCAGAAAAATGAGGACGACGTCGACGAGGCGCCCCTCCCGAAGGGAGGCGCCGACGCCTTGGACCAGTCAAACCGCGGCGTATTGTCCGGCCCCCGTTGCAGGGAGTCCACGAGCTGCTCCCACTCGCCTTGGCCGAGGACGTCAATCGTCAGAGGAGGAGGAGGAGGAGGAGGAGGAGGAGGAGGAGGAGGAGAAGGGGG